GAGAAGCGAAACGGAAGTGAGGGACGTAAACAAAGGATTGAAGAAGGCACAGGACAGCAGCTAAACCCCAGCAGGTGATACTTAAAGACATCAAACATAGCCCTTAAATGTCCTCTCTTACCTCCCACACATAGCAGGGACATCTCTGATATCGGCGGGAGCGTCCCCGGCTGTCCTCTGCTGAGAGCTCCGTGATTTGTTTGGTCAAGTTGCAGGATTAGTCTCAAGTACCTCAACATTGTCCTTAAGTCCAGTGTCTAAGTAAATGAGATCTACTGCTGTTCATTTACCTATTGTGAGTCGCCTCGGATAAAAGCATCACATGGAAATGTACATTTGGCCATTATGACATTACATACATTACTACATTGCTGACTCAATAAACGACACACCCTCCAGAACACTGCGATCATCAGACGCAGGTCTATTAACTGTGATGTGATAGTATGCACTTTATGTGCTCATTTCATCATTCATGTATTTTTATATTCTAAAACATGTTTTCGATGGACGAGAGTGAAAATGGAACGCACACGCTATTTGTTTGTTTATATCACAGTCTGTTCTTCTTCTCTGTCTTCCGGTTGTTGCCTCTTTTGAATGACGAATACACACTACCGCCGCCTGCTGGTAAGGAGAGTTATTGCCACTCACGCATGCGCAGTTCCTACGTGCTCGGCTGAAGTCTTTGTGGTGTGTTCCAGTGCGACACACGGCCAAGACGCAGGAGAACTCGGCGAGGCAACTGTCGGTGTCGGCGAGTTCTCTGGTGACTGCTTGGTGTGTCAGGGCCTATACAGCCTGGTTTGCTAATCTGTCTACTTCCATTTCCCACAATTCCCATGTGGGCAGGAACCCAAATAAATGTCCCCACAGCGCCTCGCTTGTTATCTGTGTGTGTTGTAATGATACAGAGTTTATCTAGAGGGGAGTGGAGCTCCTCCTTCATGACTGGCTCTGGCTGCTGATAGGCCAGCTGAGGGTGAGGGGACCAATCAGCCGTCAGTCCGAGGTGCTCAGGCAGGTTCTGATCAGAGGGGGAGGAGAGAAGAGCAGGAGGAGGGAAACACAACTTAAGGCCCTGACACACCAAGCAGTCACCAGAGAACTCGCCGACGCCGACTGTTGCATCGGCGAGTTCTCCTGCGTCTTGGCCGTGTGTCGCACTGGAACACACCACAAAGACTTCAGCCGAATGATCCAACCAATCATCTGAGCCGGCTAAAGTAACTGGATGGCCTACCTGCCTGTCAGCCTTCCATCTGTGCACAAACTTATCTCGTGCCCTCATTGGTCATGTGTGCGTTCGTGTGTGTTGGAGGAGGGGCTCTGTGAGGAAGTGGCACATTTTCTCCGGTTGTGTATTTTCAAATTCTAGCGCACTCGAGCTGGTTTCTCAAACTTACCTACCCTACCTTTAAAATTGGATGCATTTATGTATCAAAAACCAATACTGGTAGACAATCATGGGATCCATGCACCAGATTTGTTTTAATTTAATCAGTAAAGGCTATAAATCAAGAGGAAACTGCTTAAATAGGTTAAGGATACAAGGCAACATTAGGCAATGTTTAAAATGTATTAATACAAATTCCAAGAAGCAACTCGTCTCTGGCCTCATGGCATGTTTTGAGATACCCTGCTAACAGACAAACAAGTTATGCCAAAATGAAAACCTTGAGGTTATAACAGGCTCAGGTGACAATTACCTTAACTTAAAACAATTTATTTCAAATGACCTGCTTTGGAAAAAAAAAATCTGGATAATAGTCATATTTTATAAGATTTGACATCAATCTGTAAGAGTAGTTGCATTTAGGATCTAAATGTGTGTTCTGATGATAACAACAAGTTAGATATTAATGACCTAATGGCAAACACTGAGAGGGCATTAAGCAGCATCTCACCTGTCCATCCTCTGGGACACTCGCACTTGGATTTGTTGAGGGACAGCAGGGTGCAGACCCCCTTGTTGGCACAGGGGTTGTTGGGGTAACACGTGGAATTTTGGGGAGTTTGGCAGTGCGGCCCGGTGTAACCGAGCGGGCAGGAGCAGGTCGCGCTGCCTGCTACGGGAACTCCAGCTGACATCAACACAGAGCAGTTCCCTCCATTCAGGCAGAAGCCAGGGTGACAGGGGTCCTTATGTTGGCAGTACACCCCCAGAAACCCTGGTGCACACCTACACACATACAACAAATAGAATTGAATGACTGAAAATTCAAAGACACAATCACCCCTACATACAGACAATAATGTTGAGGTAAACAAAAAGATGTGTGTGTTTGTGAATGAAAGCGAAGCAAATAAACAAAACAAAGCAGTGAGTTTGGGTCAGGTGCACAGGATGCAGCACATCAGAGGCAGCATTGATAGTGAAGCGTAACATCTGTAGTACATACACATCAAAGACACACGAGAACTATCGCAGGTAAACACACACTATTGTCACTTCTATATAGTGATCTAAACAACAGTGTGTGGGGAACCACATCCCTGAGTTGGAGTATTAGCAAAGTGTTTGTGCATGAAGAGAAACTAGTTCAATTACTATTACATGGATAATGGGTTATTTTTATGTTAAGACTTTAAGACAGATATGAATTACATTACATTGCATTTAGCTGACGCTTTTATCCAAAGCGACTTACAATAAGTGCATTCGACCAGGAAGATACAAACTAGAAGAAAACAGAATCATATAAGTACATCAGGTTTCACAGAGCCAAAACATTTCAAGTGATACTCAACAGGCTTTAGATCAGCCAGTCCTTTATTAGTATACAAGTGCTTTGTTAGAAAAATTCTTTGTTAGTAATTCTATCGCTCGAAGTGGAGTCGAAAGAGATGAGTTTTCAGTCTGCGCTGGAAGATGTGTAAGCCTGAATCAGTTTACAGTAAAAAGGAGTCCCACAGACTGAAGTACTGACACACACATTAGTTCCAGAAAAGTGTCTTTTGACATTTAAGATGTGAAGCACCAAGATTATTGAGGAAGCTACTCTGCGCCGTTGCCCAGGGCTCAAAATAAACTTTTATCCTCAGTGTCCCACAAAAGTCCCGCGTTCTATATTAAACTGTCCCAGACCAAAACAATGTCTTAAATTAAAGTTATTAACTATGACTTATTATTATTATTATCCATGCAAGTTCACCGGCTTCACTTAATTGACTGTGATGGAAGTTGTGCTGGTTGTTTCCTGCACTCATGTCACTGTGGCTTTCTTTAGGGGGCTTCCTTGCTTTTAACCACCACAAGTGTTGTTCATCCACCTCAGCATTTTTGTGACCGTAGGTTTTTCTGCAACGTCATGTGTTTCAATTTATCATTGATTTTGTGTGTAAGCACATTTTTTCTATTTCTACACCTAAAAAAAAATTACGCATAAATGTATTAATTTCATTTCTGATGATGCTTTTTTTTTACTGTTCACTGACAAGAGAACTTTTTTCTTTGAGCGCTTATCTTGCCCCATAAACCCTATAAGAGGAAAGGGGGAAGCTGAGCTTGTTGAAAGGGTTAAACTGGGGTTAGTCATAGAAAGAAGAAGTTAAAGAGTAGAAGGATGTGAGGTGGGGTTATCTGGAAGTCGTTGACTGAGAGCCTGGTAGAAACTAAAAACAAGTGAAAAGCATCAGCAATTATTTGAGGAATGTAAAAAGATGAAGACATTAACACAACATAACATAAATGTATCCAAATTAAAAGTTAAGAATATTTCTTGACCACTGCTTCACAACAGCTGTAGAGTTTATGACTAAAAGAAAAGCAACTCTTCCTTTGAGATAGTTTGGTGTACAAATCATATTTCCACAGCTTATTCATCAGCCATTTTGTTTCAATTTCTCTTTTTTCTACTATTTCAGAGAAATGATTCAACCATGCGGAGGGGAGGAAATTACAATATTACACAACATGTCCACTAGAAGATCTTATCAGAGACAATGATCCCTTCGTCACTTTCTATTCCTCTGTTTCTCTCAGTCACTTTCACTCACCACTTCTCTTTGAGTGACAGTACTGAGGTGTCATGTTGTTACACAGAATATGTTATTCATCAGGAATATCTTATTCAACTTCCTGTGTATGCTACTGTGTCTGTTTCATCGTGAGCCTGTGTGTGTGTGTGTGTGTGTGTCACATGTCAGACACGCTGTTTGGGGACTGTGGGCAACAGAGCAGCCTGCTGCCTCTTACACAGGCCTCTAAAGCTGCCTCCCTCGAGGGGCTCAGGTAACATAATAGGAGAGAAACCACACACACACACACACACACACACACACACACACACACACACACACACACACACACACACACACACACACACACACACACACACACACACACACACACACACACACACACACACACACACACACACACACACACACACACACACACACACACACACACACACACACACACACACACACACACACACACACACACACACACACACACACACACCCTTTAATAACCACTCCAAATTAAAAAGAGATGCTTATTTGACAAACAAGCAGACTTCGGGCATGTAAAAACATAAAGAGGAGAATCTGAGATCGGTGTTATGAGCCATATAAAACAGAGACAGAACAATGGAGGGGGAATTATGTGAAATTTAGTCTCACGCTTATTTACTTTTATTATTAATGGCCACCCCACCCCAAAGCAGCTTTAAGATATTAGGTTATGAGCGCATGGGAAAGTAACACTTTAATGAATCATGCCAGGCAGAAGTCTAACAGATCAATCACGAATCGCACAATGTCCTCAAATCCTCAAATATGATAAACAACATGTGACAACATATTCCCAAACCAACTTTATGTTTGGTTAAAAGAATATAGAGTTCATCTAATGCAAAACAGTACAAATGTTAAGATTGAATCAGCACTAATGCTGGTATTAAGAATACTGTGTGTTTAAGACAGTGTCGTTTTTCATTTGTTTTCACAAGATATGACAAAATACCATATTCACGTTAAAGTTTAGATTTGCTTAACAATATCCTACCTTTCCGGATTATGAACAAAAGAGTTGATCCCACTAATAAGAACTGTCTGTGTAGCCAAAGCCCGTGATCTCATTCCACAAATCTACTTTAGTTTAGAAACACAGGTTCTGTAGTTTATTTTAAATCTAATGACTATTGCACAATTTAATGTGAGAAAAAGTATTACAAATGTATTAAAGTAGATTTTGAGCTTGTTCTAATATGAAAGTATAAATCTGCTGACTCGTTTTAGATTCAGAAGGAAATAGTGGCTGAGTGGCATTGATAGGAAGTCTCATTGGAAAGTCCTAAAAGACAGACTAACACGTTGTTGGTTGTGTTTTTTCCATGGGATTCTTTGACATTTGCAAAATACAAGAACCAGCTTTTAAAAAAAACATTTTTATATTTTATCTTCCCAACATGTTCTCTAAATATCTGCTATTTGCAGATACTCATGGTGCTGGTAAACAGATAAACAAGTTGTCAGATTAGTGACCTATGATCTTCAAAGACAAACAGACTTCATGCCTCTTTCAGATTAGACATGGTCACCCTCCCTCTTCCCTGTCTCCGTCCCTGTATCAGCATGTCTGCAGTGCAACCCCCTACACACCCCTCAACACATGCCTTTACACAAACACACACACACCACACTCACATAAATACACAAACACAAAGATGTCCCTCCCCACTCTGAACACAAACACAGCTTGGTCATGATATCACAACAAGACGGCCGTCGTGGGAATTAGGAGAGCTTTCTTCTCCTGGAGACCCTCCCCGCCCCCTCTGAAGGAGTAATGACATGGCCCTCTGCCCCGCGACATTCATCACATTAGCAGACTGTCACACGAAGAACACCGTGTCCAGGTTAATACGCGGTTTGCCTTTCACTGGGAACATTTCACACATTTTCACTGTTAAAAATATGGGGAACATGAGGAGGCATTTTCAGAGTATGAAAGGAAATTTGAAACGTGGGGTTTGTTTTGTGTTAAGCTTGATTACACGTGTATCGAGCTTGAAATAAATTACTTTCAAAAATGTTAAATAATCTAACATTTGCATTTAGTTAGTAATTTGGCCCTTTATAGTGTTTATCTACAGTCTAAAGATGTTCATCCTTCACGGTCAACATGTATACATTTGACTTTTTAGTTCCGTTTCATTCTATTTTGAGATGTTTATATTTTATGTTTGTTTATTTTCTACTCTTTTTATTTTCACATTATGTGCAATGCCATGTTTTAACACGCTGCTGTTATAAAGACATTTTCCAATTTGGGATCAATAAAGTGAATCTTATCTCATTCAGGAGATCACTAAAAGTGCACAAGAAGGATTTAAAAAAAGGTATTCAAATTATCCAGAGTTGCAATTTTCCCACATTTAACATTATTTTTGAAAATCCCAAAGTGCTGACAAGGGAGATACACCTTTATTTAATGAAATCGCTGCCATCCAACCAGTGTTGACAGAACCAAATGCCATGGCGTCATGAAGCGATACTTCCCTGTCCTTCAGGTTTCCCTGGCAGATAGAGAGCTCATTATTGGCCTCTGGCTGTATCAATAGAGCCCGAGGCAGACAGACAAGGCTGTGCATGATTCACATTATTGTCAGGGAGTGGTGTCTCAATAACACACTGAAACACTAGTCTGTCACTGAACGCAACAGAGCTGTCCGACAAACACCCAAACACACTACAGAACACAAGAATGTGCACACAGATGAATGCACACAGACACCTTAACACACACACAGTCAGCTCTACGTTCATGAACAACTCAGCAGAGAGGGTTTCTGCAGCCAAAGTCATCTATGGGATTCTTTGTTTTGCTCCATTAGGACCAGACCACCCAGCGCCTGGAGAAAAAACAAACACACGGACGCAGATGGACGAAAGCATGAGCGGGCCGAGAGGGCCTCTGATCCATGAAAAGAAGAGTGTGTTACCCCAGAGGCTGGATGTTAGATCTGACAGTTTGGTGAGGGAAAACATATCGTGAGCGTTACCTGCAGCGCTACAACGGTCCAGGTGACGGTGTTGTATCCCTGGAACATCCCCGACTCCTTCACCCTCTCTCCATCGTAGGCCATCATCCCAAAGAGGCCAAACACCAGGCCGAACATCCCTGGAAAACACACACAAACATAATTAAGTGAGCTGAAGATCAGTGTAAAGATATCATCCCAAAGTCATCAGAATAATACTATTATATGGCCAAAAGATATGGAAGGTAATGTTTTTTCATTGGCTGAAACTGTCACTTTATCCCAACAAAATGTGAGGTTTTCCCCCCAAATGAAGACAACTCCTATCTAGATCCATATTGGATCACCGCTGCCTGGGTTGGCAGTTTGACGTGAATGACTCCTGGCTCTGTCTGATTGGTTATTTCCTTTGTGTGCGCTGATTTTTACAAACTAAATGATCTGTTTTCATGCACTATTCTCAGGAGTGACCCTTAAAGGTGGGGTAGGTAAGTTTGAGAAACCGGCTCGAGATCGCTAGAATCTGAAAATACACAACCGGAGAAAATCTGCCACTTCCTCACAGAGCCCCTCCTCCAACACACACGAACGCGCACATGACCAATGAGGGCACCAGATAAGTTTGTGCACAGATGGAAGGCTGACAGGCAGGTAGGCCATCCAGTTATTTTAGCCGGGCCGGCTCAGATGATTGGTCGTGCTTTTTACAGTACTACTGCTTCCACAGATGATATTTATTAATGTATCTGTTGTCAAAGCACTTCAGATATTCATTGCTATCTGGATGTTAAGAGCATTCCATGGAATATAACAACGAGTGTATCTCCAGCCGGTTTCTCAAACTCACCTACCCCACCTTCAAGGCAAATATGATCAAAGTAATTTTGTCTCTCTTTAACAAAGAGAAAGAAAATCCAACATTGCTTTGTATTTGAACAGCACACAGGGCTGCGTGCTAGTTAAGCCTGCAAGCAAATGAACATTTGTCAATGTTTTGTCCTTGCGCCTGGCCAAGGAATATTCAGCACATAACCAAAAAAAACACACATTTTTATTTCACATTTTGGTTGAGTTCCCGATTAAACAAACAACTTTCTGTCTTTACACGAAAGAAGGTTTAACAGTCTCCTGGCTCTTGCTTCATATTAAGGGTATCTCTTTCAAGGGTGACTTTATATTGCCTAATTTGTCTTTACAACACACCAAAGCCCAAATATAAACACTAACAATCATATGAAATAAGACAAATGGATGGCATTTAACTTGTCAAATGACTTTAACAATAGGATTACAAAAATGATTGAACCAAGAGTTTTAGCATTTATTCCCTATGTCCTTTCTCATTTTTCTTGAAGCACTCTTTTTACTAACAACAACAAAAACAACAACAAGCCACACAGCATTTTCCTCCCTGCTCTCGTTGCTGATCTAGGCTCCAACCCTCATTGCAGGTGAAAAAGCTCCAAGCTCACACCAGGAATCGCAGGAGACTTAACACATGCCTCACGCGCTCCAGAGCAAAAATAAACTAGACAGGAACATTCATCTTAACAGAAACACATCGGAGGTAAAAAGCCCAGCTGGCTCTCTGCGCGGGGAAGAAATGAAACGCACAAGAGCTCTCTTCAGAAACACGGAGGTATTTTCAACAACATCTCACTACAGAGTTCCTTTGTTGATGGACATGCATTGATTAAACGTCATACACTCACATTTCCTCTGTGAGAACAGCTGGTATATGGATCAGACTGATGGAGGGACACTGACCTAGCTGGATGTTGCGCACCCAGACGCTCTGCTTGCTCTCCTTCAGGATCTTCTCAAAGTAAACCCCAGCGAAGCCACTGGAGCAGCAGGCCACCAGGACGGCTGCCGCACCGACAAACTGGGAGCCCGTAGAGAGGGCCTCCTTCTCGGGAACCGCCACAGACTCCGAGGGCCACTGCAAACACAAGAGGAACACTCGGGTTGTAATACACCTCAATTCTAAGAGATCACTTATGACCTTGGAAATTGTTTTTTCAAATGGGATAGCTAAGTTGCCAAAACAGACATATTAAAATAAAAATCCGTTGGGAAAGACTGTTGGGAAAGCTAGACGGTTGACTCTAATAGGCAGAATGTGTAGGATTTACCTACAAATATTATGTAGCCTATAGACTCAGATACAAAAATAATCCCCTTTAGTCATTTGACATGAACTCTGCCTGTATTTAACAGGGTTTGGGATGTTTTTGAGTTTTTGGAATGTGCGTTTATGAACTGCTCCTGACAAATGCTACTCATTCTGACTTTTAAAGTTAAAAAAAAGTATATATAATAAGGGCATAATACTGAGCTAAGAGTGATCAGAAGTTAATTAAAGAATACAAATATGCAGTAACAACAAAATAATATATGCTAACTGTTTTCCCCTTCTTCCAGTTAGTACAACATGTAGCATATACTAGCTAGATGTATACTTAAATGGAAGTTATGAGGGAGGTATCAATTCTCTCACTTTGTTTGAGGCAAGAATTTGGATAAGCAAATTTGCCAATGAATAAATATTTCTAAGAAAAAAAAGCAGTTTCTATTAAAAATGTCCTGTATTGACCAATGACTAAGTATCCAAGTTCCAATGAAATGTCTACACGCATGCACTTAATAAGGTCTGCACCCTCTGTAATGGTGAACAATAAAACGCTCTTAGAAGCCGGACTGCTGGGTGACTCAATTTCATACAAATGCATCTTCACAGCTTTGCCAAGTTGTAAAAGTGCTGCAGAGCGTTATGTGCTGCAGTAAGCAGGAAAATGGGTGCAAAAAAAAGATGATTATTGTTGTGCGTAGTAAGAAAAATATTGTAGCTCCTGCACTTTTCCTTTGGATAAAACCACAAAATATCCACACAAGTCCGAGCCATTCTTTAAAAAGAGATATTTTCAGTATGTTAACAACTTTTGGAACAAGATGCCGTATGCCTGCCTCCTCTTTACCCCCTCCAGTCGCCAAAACAAACCCTGCTGAGTGAGAAGTAACAACATGAACCTTGTAAAAACAGGATTGTAGGTTGTAAATCAAAACAGGCCAACTATTTCTTAGCATGCCATCCCTTAAGCTTGTCTATTGTTTTGTAGGTGCAAAAGGACCATGTATCACCATGTGTGATAGAGCAATCGGAGCATTCAGGAGGTGTGGTAAATGAACCAATCATATCCTTTAGATTTTTTAAGGTGTATCTTCATGTCCTCCTCCACTACCGTGGTACTGTCTCTTTTTCTGGCACGTCAGCAGTAAGATAACATCCTGTGAAATACTAACTGACTGGTATTGTTTTTGTTTTCCTAAGGAGGCGGAGGTGATATCACAACAGTCTCTTGCTTACTGACACATTCACCACCTCGTCCCTCGTAGCGAGCAGTGGCCAATATTTATTCAGAGATCCAGTTCAGGCCTCTTTATTAGGTTTTATTTTTCTAACCTTTATATAACCACATAACTCCCACTGAGATGTATTTCTATATCAGGCCACTAGAAGAAATAAGAGCTTGCTGTAATTAATTAAAACACAAACTAGGCAAACTTCCAGTACAGAGCTGAGTTAATGCTTCATCAAACAAAGTATAGGATTGGCTATATGTCTTTGATGTAAAGGGTATTTATGACATGCTGTCTCTAAAGCCTTCAGAGGTAGAGGAATGATGCTGTAAATTACCTTATGAAATCTACATCTGGCCAAATTGAACTAAAACTATTTCAAGCTGAGGAACGCATAGTCCTTGTTAAACAAAGACATGTGAATACTTTTTAAAAACCGAGTAGCCTTCCAAAGTCTGTAAAATGAGAAAATACCCACTGCAACTATCCAGATCTCAAGGATACATCTTCAAACGTCTTACTTTGTTCGGCTAACAGCGCAAATCGCAAATATATTGAGTTTACAATCATATAAAAACCACATTTAGGGAACCTTGGATGTAAGAGGATAAGGATTACACTGAATGTATACTAGTAACTCTTTTAGAGGACGAATAGCTTAAGACTGCATCATAACTCTGGAACAAAAGGGCCCTAGATCATACAATACATGTTCCTAGACTTATAGGATGTGTTCTTACAGTTATTTCAACATTAGGAGAAACCAGAGAGGATGTTCCGTGGCCTATTTCAAGATGACGGTGAATATTGTGATTTCAATTTCAACAAGGTGTAAAAGGAAAAGTAGAAGCTGTACTGGACCTGCACAAAAGCCACTCCAGCCATGAGGATGAGCAGCGAGAGCCACTGGTAGACGCCCAGCCTGCGGCCCAGCATGGACACGGAGAACAGAGCCGTGGTGAGGATCTTAAGCTGATACGTCACCTGATGGAGACAACGGGGGGGAAACTGTCATCAACAAGGATGTGCTGATTGCTGAATGTCTCAGAAAGACACATCAGCACCTGTGTGTCGTACAGAGTCATGCTGCAAGTTATTTATGTCTTTATACATGCCTCCTCTTCAGACCCAGGCGGACCAGCTGTACCTGGTAGGTGGCGGCGTCAAGGTTGGATAGGGCGACGTACAGCAGCTTGTTCTGCAGCGTGTAGATCCCCGAGGGAATCGCCAGCTTCAGCATCTCAATGGGTTTGTGAGCAATTTCCTGACGCAGAATGCTGTTCAGAGCTCGCCAGCTATAACCTAAAGAAAGGAAAAACAATTACCGATCAGGGACGGCAAACTTTTTCAGATTGAGACCCAAAAAAGAGATTTGTTGTTTCACAGGGACCTAAAGATCCAGAAATACCATCATTTTTCAAATGTATATGACATTTTTTATTTACAGAATAATACAAAAATACATCAAAGCAATACTGTTCTTAAACATTTAGTTACGCAACACACTCTCCTTTCTATCCCTCTGAACCAGGGCCGCCCCTCCCTACAGGCAGATCACGCAAAAGAAAAAGAAGCTTTACCTGTTTATCTGTAGAATAACATCCAATGTCAGTCTAGGTTTCAGATCTGAGGGGCTTCCAGGTTTAACATTATTCAGTAAATTGCTTTTTGCAGTAGGAAAGGTGTAAATCAAATATAAGGAAATGCCCCGTCTTAGATTTCTGTTATTGAAATCTAGCTATTTTCTGTATTTACCAGACTGTTCCAGCTGTTTTATTACATGCCTTTACCCACTTATTCATTATGTTACCTCAACTCATGATCTATCTATATATCAAACACTTCATTGTGTTGATTCAAAATCCTCTTGAAATATCGTGATACTTTCTTTATTCTCAAGTGAGGATGTGGTTTGGTGATATCTGCGTTGTGTTGGTGTTCACTCACTGTGCTCTTTGAAGACGAGCAGCACACAGGTGAAGATCTTCATGACCTCAGCCACCACCACGGCGGAGGAGGCCAGGTACCGCGGGCCGTCCGCCTGCAGGGTGCGGGAGTACCGCATGGTGAGCACCAGGGAGGTGGTCTGGAACACCAGCACGCCCAGAGAGAGGTACTTCAGCCGGGTAGAGGCCATGGCCACAGGTCGGTGTGAGGCTGGACACAGAAAAAGGTAAAATGATAAAGTCCAAGACAAGTCAAATGTTAGGTTAAGTGTAAGCTGAGCAAAGTCAGGAGTTGAGGATATTTAGGGGGGGAAATGGTGTAATACTCACTGAGCAAACAATGCTGAGAAGAGAAGTCGCAGTTGGCTCGTCTCCAATGGCGCTTTAAAAGCAACTTTACAGATAGTAGATATGCGTCTCTACATAAAGTAACCCCGTCTTTAGGGTTGAATCGTCGGGTGGTGTGTGTCCTCAGCAGGTGTCTCACAGACCAGGTACTGGAGGCTGAACCCAGCTGTCAAAACAGCAGCATTTCAAGTCCATTGACCCGCACTGATATCCGCCGTCTGCTGATAGCTGCGCGTTATCTTATCAGCGTTTCTGCACCGCCGGCTCCATCTTTTACCGCCATTACGGTGTGACTTACCACTAGAGGAAGGAGGAAACTATGCATAGAAAATCTACAGAAGGATAGCAAATCTCATCCATGTGACAAAATATCCAAATCCTGGATGACTTCCGTGTACAGGTTTCTTCTTTGTGTGTTTGGTTAAAGCTTCCTGCGCGAACCGCTGCCCCCTGCTGGACTGGTAATTAACTTTAAGATATTAGATGTTAAGGTAGTAGTGGAAAGTAATTCAGTATATGTATTGAAAGTACTGTACTTAAATGCAATTTAAAATACTAATTTGAGTTTTTTTAATTTTATGCTGATTTGTAGTCCTATCTCTAGGCAAGGCAAGGCAAGCCAAGGCAAGGCAAGGTAAGGCAAGGCAAGGTAAGGCAAGGCAAGGTAAGGCAAGGCAAGGCAAGGCAAGGTAAGGCAAGGCAAGGCAAGGTAAGGCAAGGCAAGGTAAGGCAAGGCAAGGCAAGGCAAGGTAAGGCAAGGCAAGTTTATATAGCACATTTCAACACAAGGCAATTCAAAGTGCTTTACAAAAATGCAAGACATTAAAGGTGGGGTAGGTAAGTTTGAGAAACCGGCTCGAGATACACTTTTTGTTATATTCCCTTTGAGATAATTAAGTCCAGAGTGTGCCCCTTATTGTATGTGGGCTCCGTATGTGGGCTCCGTCCATAGTTATCAAGAACACAAAACAGTTCTTTAGCCCCTCTGTCCTGGGGGTTGTCAACATGGATGTTAAAATCACCAACAATGACTAGACGGTCAGGGTCAATACTATGTAGTGTCTCTACTTTAAAGAGTCCTCTCCTGCTGATGTTCAGGTGTATATCAGTATGTAGTGTCTCTACTTTAAAGAGTCCTCTCCTGCTGATGTTCAGGTGTATATCAGTATGTAGTGTCTCTACTTTAAAGAGTCCTCTCCTGCTGATGTTCAGGTGTATATCAGTATGTAGTGTCTCTACTTTAAAGAGTCCTCTCCTGCTGATGTTCAGGTGTATATCAGTATGTAGTGTCTCTACTTTAAAGAGTCCTCTCCTGCTGATGTTTAGGTGTATTTCAGTATGTAGTGTCTCTACTTTAAAGAGTCCTCTCCTGCTGACGTTCAGGTGTATATCAGTATGTAGTGTCTCTACTTTAAAGAGTCCTCTCCTGCTGATGTTCAGGTGTATATCAGTATGTAGTGTCTCTACTTTAAAGAGTCCTCTCCTGCTGATGTTCAGGTGTATATCAGTATGTAGTGTCTCTACTTTAAAGAGTCCTCTCCTGCTGATGTTTAGGTGTATTTCAGTATGTAGTGTCTCTACTTTAAAGAGTCCTCTCCTGCTGATGTTCAGGTGTATATCAGTATGTAGTGTCTCTACTTTAAAGAGTCCTCTCCTGCTGATGTTCAGGTGTATATCAGTATGTAGTGTCTCTACTTTAAAGAGTCCTCTCCTGCTGATGTTCAGGTGTATATCAGTATGTAGTGTCTCTACTTTAAAGAGTCCTCTCCTGCTGATGTTTAGGTGTATTTCAGTATGTAGTGTCTCTACTTTAAAGAGTCCTCTCCTGCTGATGTTCAGGTGTATATCAGTATGTAGTGTCTCTACTTTAAAGAGTCCTCTCCTGCTGATGTTTAGGTGTATTTCAGTATGTAGTGTCTCTACTTTAAAGAGTCCTCTCCTGCTGACGTTCAGGTGTATATCAGTATGTAGTGTCTCTACTTTAAAGAGTCCTCTCCTGCTGATGTTCAGGTGTATATCAGTATGTAGTGTCTCTACTTTAAAGAGTCCTCTCCTGCTGATGTTCAGGTGTATATCAGTATGTAGTGTCTCTACTTTAAAGAGTCCTCTCCTGCTGATGTTCAGGTGTATATCAGTATGTAGTGTCTCTACTTTAAAGAGTCCTCTCCTGCTGATGTTCAGGTGTATTTCAGTATGTAGTGTCTCTACTTTAAAGAGTCCTCTCCTGCTGATGTTCAGGTGTATATCAGTATGTAGTGTCTCTACTTTAAAGAGTCCTCTCCTGCTGATGTTCAGGTGTATATCAGTATGTAGTGTCTCTACTTTAAAGAGTCCTCTCCTGCTGATGCTCAGGTGTATATCAGTATGTAGTGTCTCTACTTTAAAGAGTCCTCTCCTGCTGATGTTCAGGTGTATATCAGTATGTAGTGTCTCTACTTTAAAGAGTCCTCTCCTGCTGATGTCCAGGTGTACAGTATATCAGTATGTAGTGTCTCTACTTTAAAGAGTCCTCTCCTGCTGATGTTCAGGTGTATATCAGTATGTAGTGTCTCTACTTTAAAGAGTCCTCTCCTGCTGATGTTCAGGTGTATATCAGTATGTAGTGTCTCTACTTTAAAGAGTCCTCTCCTGCTGATGTTCAGGTGTATATCAGTATGTAGTGTCTCTACTTTAAAGAGTCCTCTCCTGCTGATGTTCAGGTGTATATCAGTATGTAGTGTCTCTACTTTAAAGAGTCCTCTCCTGCTGATGTTCAGGTGTATTTCAGTATGTAGTGTCTCTACTTTAAAGAGTCGTCTCCTGCTGATGTTCAGGTGTATATCAGTATGTAGTGTCTCTACTTTAAAGAGTCCTCTCCTGCTGATGTCCAGGTGTACAGTATATCAGTATGTAGTGTCTCTACTTTAAAGAGTCCTCTCCTGCTGATGTCCAGGTGTATATCAGTATGTAGTGTCTCTACTTTAAAGAGTCCTCTCCTGCTGATGTCCAGGTGTACAGTATATCAGTATGTAGTGTCTCTACTTTAAAGAGTCCTCTCCTGCTGATGTTCAGGTGTATATCAGTATGTAGTGTCTCTACTTTAAAGAGTCCTCTCCTGCTGATGTTCAGGTGTATATCAGTATGTAGTGTCTCTACTTTAAAGAGTCCTCTCCTGCTGATGTTCAGGTGTATATCAGTATGTAGTGTCTCTACTTTAAAGAGTCCTGTCCTGCTGATGTTCAGGTGTATATCAGTATGTAGTGTCTCTACTTTAAAGAGTCCTCTCCTGCTGATGTTCAGGTGTATATCAGTATGTAGTGTCTCTACTTTAAAGAGTCCTCTCCTGCTGATGTTCAGGTGTATATCAGTATGTAGTGTCTCTACTTTAAAGAGTCCTCTCCTGCTGATGTTTAGGTGTATTTCAGTATGTAGTGTCTCTACTTTAAAGAGTCCTCTCCTGCTGATGTTCAGGTGTATATCAGTATGTAGTGTCTCTACTTTAAAGAGTCCTCTCCTGCTGATGTTTAGGTGTATTTCAGTATGTAGTGTCTCTACTTTAAAGAGTCCTCTCCTGCTGACGTTCAGGTGTATATCAGTATGTAGTGTCTCTACTTTAAAGAGTCCTCTCCTGCTGATGTTCAGGTGTATATCAGTATGTAGTGTCTCTACTTTAAAGAGTCCTCTCCTGCTGATGTTCAGGTGTATATCAGTATGTAGTGTCTCTACTTTAAAGAGTCCTCTCCTGCTGATGTTCAGGTGTATATCAGTATGTAGTGTCTCTACTTTAAAGAGTCCTCTCCTGCTGATGTTCAGGTGTATTTCAGTATGTAGTGTCTCTACTTTAAAGAGTCCTCTCCTGCTGATGTTCAGGTGTATATCAGTATGTAGTGTCTCTACTTTAAAGAGTCCTCTCCTGCTGATGTTCAGGTGTATATCAGTATGTAGTGTCTCTACTTTAAAGAGTCCTCTCCTGCTGATGCTCAGGTGTATATCAGTATGTAGTGTCTCTACTTTAAAGAGTCCTCTCCTGCTGATGTTCAGGTGTATATCAGTATGTAGTGTCTCTACTTTAAAGAGTCCTCTCCTGCTGATGTCCAGGTGTACAGTATATCAGTATGTAGTGTCTCTACTTTAAAGAGTCCTCTCCTGCTGATGTCCAGGTGTATATCAGTATGTAGTGTCTCTACTTTAAAGAGTCCTCTCCTGCTGATGTCCAGGTGTACAGTATATCAGTATGTAGTGTCTCTACTTTAAAGAGTCCTCTCCTGCTGATGTTCAGGTGTATATCAGTATGTAGTGTCTCTACTTTAAAGAGTCCTCTCCTGCTGATGTTCAGGTGTATATCAGTATGTAGTGTCTCTACTTTAAAGAGTCCTCTCCTGCTGATGTTCAGGTGTATATCAGTATGTAGTGTCTCTACTTTAAAGAGTCCTCTCCTGCTGATGCTCAGGTGTATATCAGTATGTAGTGTCTCTACTTTAAAGAGTCCTCTCCTGCTGATGTTCAGGTGTATATCAGTATGTAGTGTCTCTACTTTAAAGAGTCCTCTCCTGCTGATGTCCAGGTGTACAGTATATCAGTATGTAGTGTCTCTACTTTAAAGAGTCCTCTCCTGCTGATGTCCAGGTGTATATCAGTATGTAGTGTCTCTACTTTAAAGAGTCCTCTCCTGCTGATGTCCAGGTGTACAGTATATCAGTATGTAGTGTCTCTACTTTAAAGAGTCCTCTCCTGCTGATGTTCAGGTGTATATCAGTATGTAGTGTCTCTACTTTAAAGAGTCCTCTCCTGCTGATGTTCAGGTGTATTTCAGTATGTAGTGTCTCTACTTTAAGAGTCCTCTCCTGCTGATGTTCAGGGTGTATATCAGTATGTAGTGTCTCTACTTTAAAGAGTCCTCTCCTGCTGATGTTCAGGTGTATATCAGTATGTAGTGTCTCTACTTTAAAGAGTCCTCTCCTGCTGATGTTCAGGTGTATATCAGTATGTAGTGTCTCTACTTTAAAGAGTCCCTCTCCTGCTGACGTTCAGGTGTATATCAGTATGTAGTGTCTCTACTTTAAAGAGTCCTCTCCTGCTGATGTTCAGGTGTATTTCAGTATGTAGTGTCTCTACTTTAAAGAGTCGTCTCCTGCTGATGTTCAGGTGTATATCAGTATGTAGTGTCTCTACTTTAAAGAGTCCTCTCCTGCTGATGTCCAGGTGTACAGTATATCAGTATGTAGTGTCTCTACTTTAAAGAGTCCTCTCCTGCTGATTTCCAGGTGTATATCAGTATGTAGTGTCTCTACTTTAAAGAGTCCTCTCCTGCTGATGTCCAGGTGTACAGTATATCAGTATGTAGTGTCTCTACTTTAAAGAGTCCTCTCCTGCTGACGTTCAGGTGTATATCAGTATGTAGTGTCTCTACTTTAAAGAGTCCTCTCCTGCT